TATGTATATATATATATTATATACATCCACTGTCAGAAACGAGCCTTGAACCCAGGTCTCTGGCGTCAGAGTCCGAATGTTTAACCACAGAGCCAGAGGAGACTGATGGCATGAGCTCCGTATATACACATACGCACGCACACACACACACAATATACTCCATAAATATACACATGATGCAATCTATACACACTACACTCCATATATATATACACACATGATGCAATCTATACACACACTTCACTCCATACATATACACACATGATACAATCGATACACACACTACACAATCTACATTCCATATACACACACACACTACATTCCATATATACACACATTACACATGATACAATCTATACACACTTTACTCCACATGATATAATTTATACACACACTACACAATCTATACACACACTGCAGTCCATACACATACATGATACAATCTATACACACTCTACACTTCATATGATACAAATTATACACACAGTACACTTCATATACATACATACACATGATATCTATATACACACTACATAGTCCCTACATATACACTGTAGACATACACTGTCAGAGATGAGCTTTGAACCCGGGTTTGCCACTGTCAGTGTCTGAATGCTTTACCACAGAGCCACAAGAGATTGATGGCATAGGCATCTATACACACACTACCTTCCATATACACACATGAAACAATCTATACATACACACACAACACTCTATACACATACGATACAATCTATACACACACTACACTCCACACACATAAAACAATCAATACACTGTATACATACAGTATTCTCAATATCTATCTATACACACACTACAATCCATATATACATATGATACAATCTATACACACAGTACATTCCATATACATATGATATAATCTATACACACATCATACACATACATACATAAATACCACCCTGTATACATACACTGTCAGACGAGCCTTGAACCTGGGTCTCCAGCGTCAGAGTCCGAACACTTTACCACAGAGCCACAGGAGACTTATGGCATAGGCTCCAATTATACACACACACACACACTACACACACACACACACACACACATATATTTTTAGAAAAGAAATACATGAATGACTGGTGGTCAGCCAATCAGTGTCTCGTACGGTTGTTTTTGCCAACCAATGCTAAAAAAAAT